GGGGCCGGGCGCCGGGATCGCAAGCCGCGGCGTTGCTCCCGCGCCTCGCTCAGCCAGTGAGCGGGAGCCGGTCTGTACATGGGATCCGAACACTCGGACGGGAGCGCCGCCGCGCTTCCCAAGCGGCGCACTATCCAGTGCGCCACCGGGCCGGCCCCATGTAAATATATCTTGTTAAATGGCTATATATATTCCATTATACAGAATATATGGTAATTTATTTAACCAATTCCTCATTAATGGATTGTTAGATGGAATTTTTTTTTTTTTTGGCAGGGGGCAATGAATATCCTTGTATGTAATGTCGAAGCTGGATTTTAAGCCTTTGTCAGTTATTTTTAGTATAGAGGTTAAAGTACACACTTGGTTCTGTGCTGTTTTTTTAACTAGCTGTGTGACCATGTACAAATTACTTAAGTTATAGTGCCTTGTCCTTCCTTGTCCTCTCCCCTGTTTTTCCCACTGCCTTTAGAGCCATTCTCCGTAATGAGACACCTACACGATCCACTTATCTGCCTCGTTGACCTCTTAGCTACTGCCTCATTCTCAGTTTTTATGTTCTGGCCATTCTTTTTCTTTCTCAAAGGTATTTGGCCAAGTACCTACTTCCACAGGCCTGTATGTTTCTTGTGCCCACTGTATGGAATATCTTTCCTCAGATATTTGTATGGCTGGATCTTTTTTTTTTCTTTGTCTCGGTTTAGATGTTAACTCTTGAGAATCTTTCTCTGACCTTTTCTTTCTTTTTTTTTTTTGTAGTATATTTCAATGACTGTGTCTTCCATTATGGAATATGAGCTCCATGAGAGGAGGACTTTCTCTGCTTTATTCGTGTCAGACACTCATGCCATGGCAGTACCCCCAGCCCATAAAAGTCCTTGGCACTTAGTAGGTCCTCAACACTGTTTTGAATCAATAACCGAAGTGACTTAAGTGCTGCGTGCCTGTTTCTTCTGTGCAGAGGGGATAGTAATGTTTACCTTAAGGTTTTCTAGGGTTAAGTGAGATACATGCAAAGTCCTTACAGTGTCTATCCAATACTGCATATGCAACTGGTGGCTATTAGCTTATTAATTAATCAGTGTACCATTCTAGCTGCCAAGAACTATAGCTTTTTATCATTCTACTTTTTGGATGCTTTTTATCCTTTAGCCCCTTTATGTGTTGAGTACTTGGCTATTGTATTTGGAATATATTTCAGTATTCTCCTATAGGTTTAAAAATGTAATTTAGTTGTTGAACACAGTGCTTTACTATGTGCTGATCACTGGTCCAAGGGAATTTACTCATTAATTCATTTAATCCTCAAGAGGCATATCTGTAATGTTTATGATTAGTAAATTTCATCAACAGTAATACCTTCTTTTACAGTAGAGTTAGCTTGGATTCAGCTTGTATGATCAGACAAAAATTTAATGTATGAGAGTTTTTCTGATCTTCTGCTCAATGAACACTATGTAAGCATGGTACATGCACTTGAATCTGCTATTCCTGCAGCTGGCCTTATTTCCTGAGTGCCTCTCGTAGTACATGCAACTTGTGATAAGTATCACTTTAGTGTCTAAAGGTATATAAAAATTATGCAGCAAGGGCCGGCCCGGTGGCGCACTGCTACAGTACGCCGCTTGGGAGTGCGGTGACGCTCCCGCCGAGGGTTCGGATCCCACATACAGACCGGCCACTCACTGGCTGAGCGAGGTGCGGGTGCAACACCGAGGGTTGCGATCCCGGTCCGGTACGGGTGCGACACTGAGGGTTGCGATCCGTTGCCGGTCACGAAAAAAGACAAAAAGGGAAAAAAAAAATTATGCAGCAAGACCTCTAAATGATGGTCAGCTGAAAATACCAACAATGGAGGCACAACTGGACAACTGGCTGTGTTAGTCTTTCTACTAAGCCTGTGTTCATCTCCAACATGAAACTTCTCTAAGAGTATTTTTGACTGTGTGATTTTTTTTTCTTTATGCACGCATTAGCTTTAGAATTTAATCCCTTTGCTTCTATACTGTAGTCATAATTTTTTCATGTGGTTTCTTATTTGACTCCATTTGGAAAAGGATAAATTTCATCAAGCAATGTAGTTATAATTAGAACACAACTGTTATATAAACATTGAAATGCTTTGGGTGATATTCCAGGTATTGAGATTGTAAACGTTGCTATTCTGGTCCGATACCTTTTGCAATTTGACCTCCTCAGCCTCCTGCCATTAATTAAAAGGTTGGGCACTACCAAAGGTGGTAGTGGTGGAGACATCAGCTGGAAACTACTCCTGCTATCAAGGTTGGTTAGAAACCTGGATGTAGCAGCCAAAAAAGTATCCTACCATTTACACCATGATGAAATTTTATAGTTACTTGAGCAGCTACATGTGTTTCCCTGTCCTTGGGGATTAACAAATGACTAAACATTGCTAGGTTTTTTCTTTTCAATCCAAAAATTGTCAAACAACTACAAGAACATAGAGTATGGTGTAATGTATCCCCATAGCCTCAACAGCAGACTACATGTGGCCATTCTTGTTTCTATATTCCTGTTCTGTCTTTCCCGTCCCATTTGGAAGCAAATTCTGGATCTTATTTCATCCATAAATAGATCAGATTCTTAATTTTGCTATTGGCATTGTAGTGAAATATTAGTTTTAAACTTTATTTCTCAGCCATTTGTAAATTTGCCAGGAATGAGAAGACAATTCCCTGTCCAGCTAAATAGAGCCCTTCTGTTGTTACATTACAACAGTTCAGCTATTAAGGAAGAGAGGGAGCTCAGTGGACTTTATTTTATTAAAGAACATAACAAACCTTATCATATGAAGGATCCAAAAACCCCAAAAGAACAAAAACCATTTATGCTAGAAAAATCCCAACTTAAAGCCACCTCATTTGTTTTAGCCAGTTGCATGGATTTAAATTTTTAATTTTTTTTTTAAATTTTTGATTTGTAGGAATCCTATGAGGATGGTTGTGAGGATTATCCCACTCTGTCAGAATATGTTCAGGATTTTTTGAATCACCTTACAGAGCAGCCTGGCAGTTTTGAAACTGAAATTGAACAGTTTGCAGAGACCCTTAATGGCTGGGTTACAACAGATGATGCTTTGCAAGAACTTGTGGAACTCATCTATCAACAGGTAGGTTGGATAGGTTGGCTAATAGCATGGGATGATTTTCAGATAGCTTTCTTGAAGCCCAAGGAGAGCAGCTACTCCTCGAAGGAGGGCATATTTATGTTCACCTGCCTCTACACTTATTAACTCTTTATGGTTTAGGGGAGCTTTTAAATCTGTCTTGTATAAAATTGCTATAGTTAGGAGTCCAAGGCTAGAGCCAGGCTGGACTGCAAATTATTCTGTGTAGCCAAGGTTCTATACAGGCAGTATAGTATAGAAGGAGATTTGGGCACTTACAAGGAAGACTACATAAGTATCACACCTATTCCCCACTCCGTTTTATAGGCTCTGAAGTTAATAATACACAAAAAGACTGCAGTTCTTTTCTCCTGTGTATTAATTATATCGCACTGTTGTAGCCAAGGTTCTATACAGGCAGTATAGTATAGAAGGAGATTTGGGCACTTACAAGGAAGACTACATAAGTATCACACCTATTCCCCACTCCGTTTTATAGGCTCTGAAGTTAATAATACACAAAAAGACTGCAGTTCTTTTCTCCTGTGTATTAATTATATCGCACTGTTGGAGTAGGGGAGAAAAAAATCATGGGAGAACTTTCTTGTCTCATAAATGGCTTTTTTTTTTTAAAAGCCAGACTTAAAAATGTTCTCAGTCTTAACATTTCTACTTGTCATTACTTTCTTTTAAAATTTAGGGATTTACTTGTTAATTTCTTGAAAGTCTAATGTCAGTTGAGATTTTTTCATCACACACATTTAGTTTTGATCCCAGCATTTTGTGACACAATGTGATTTTAAGGGTGAAAAATGCGGTAGACAACATTGGGCTTTTTAAGGTAAAAATTAAGGTCAGTGTGAGACTGGCAAAAAAAAACCGTAGGAGATGAACAGAAGTATAAACTTAGTGTTCTTTAAGTCTTTGCTAAAAGACTTAAATCTGGAAGCAACTCAAATCTGGAAGATGTGGAAGGGTGGTTATAATAGCAAGTTGATTATATCCTACCTAATGTTTCATTTGGCTACTTTTCCAAGTGGTACTGGACTATTTACTGGACCCCAAGGTTGCCTAGGCAACTCTCAGGTTTTAGGAATATGCCTGAGATTTTAGGAAGGTAGAACTGTTGTATTTCTCTTTTTCCTACTTTCTGCCTCTAAATGGGTTGAAAAGGAATATGAGTTAAGAAAATGGAAGAAATACACTTATTTATTGTTACTTTTCAGATCTCTCCTATTTAGTTTCAGCTATTTTAATAGACTGCATGATTACAGTTCTTCAGGGCTGGGCGGAGAGTTGTAACCTGACAAGCTACAACTATTTCTGTGATTGTCTTAAAGCCAATTCTTCAAATATGTACTCAGTATTAAAGTTTTAACATTCTGTGGTCAATGATAGTTTTATCAAGATAGGTTTATCAATGATACTTAGTTTCATTGAGGTAATTTATGGAAATTTACTCATAGCAACTAACAAGAGGACCTACTGTAAAAGATCACAGATTAAATATACACATTCCACTTTGATCTCACCCCAAACACCACTAAAATGATAGTATGAGGTTTTAAAAATGCAGAAGCCCATAAAGACAAGAGGAAAGGAGATAAAAGCACCAGTTTTGAGACTAGAAAGCAGGTGGGTGAGTGGTAACGTCATCTAAAGTTGTAGTCCAAGCCAGTGGGGAAAGCTGAGGATCACCCTGACTCATAATGCAGAATCAGCAAAAGGCTGTAGAATAAGGATGGAATGAGGCTGAAAAGATTGCTAAAGTTGTAGTCCAAGCCAGTGGGGAAAGCTGAGGATCACCCTGACTCATAATGCAGAATCAACAAAAGGCTGTAGAATAAGGATGGAATGAGGCTGAAAAGATTGCTTGAGAATTTAAAAGATGAAACCCTACAGATCTTTTTTCATTGAGTAGCTGGTTTGAAGTTTTATTGTAACCCTTCTCAAGAAGTTAACAAAGGAGGTATTCCACCAAAAAGAGGAATTAAAACCAAGGATGAAGACATGGGAACCAGAAACTAGGGAATATAGGAGAAGCTAAGTGAATCATGCACATGATGGTGAAGTGAGATCCCAGGACAATAGCTGCCTGCATGGCAGACCTAGAACAGCCCGGCTTCACTGGAATAGGTCAGAAGTCTCCAGGAAAGATTTTCCTGGTAAGATAAGCACATCTGCTATGTTTGAAGATAATGAGAAATTTACAAATTAGTGAGTTTTATATACTTCAATGAGAAGTATATAAAAAACAAAGTACAAAACTGAGCATCTTGGGAAAACAAAGTTGTGCAAAAATTGAAAAATTGTAACACATCATTCAGCTATAAATAGAAACACTACTAATAAGTAAACTTTTGATGAGACCATATCGGTAGGTGGAGAGAGTGGGAAATAGTGGAATGGGGTATAGTTAAACAGGATGAGAGCTAAAAGTTCATCTTCCATGGTGGGAAGCTGGTAAGAAATAACATCTAAACTGAAATCCTGTAAAATGGAGACAGGTTAAAACCTTTTTAGCTGAAAGAATTGAAAATGGTTGTCTATAGGAGTAAAGTTGGGGGAAGTAAAAAACATTGAATAACAAGCCTTGTAGAACTCAAATCTTTAAATCATATATGTGATAACTTTAAAAAGAAACTAAAGGAAGACAGATTATGCCAATAATGGGAAAAATATAAGTTTGAATTTCAAGTCCTTTGTGGTACCAGCTAAAATATTTGATAGCAGGAGAAATCAGTCTTTTTCTCTTGATGTGAAATATATGGGGTCCCATGTGAGTAAGGAAATAATTAGAAATGAAAAAATATAGTAATTATAAAGCACTTGCTACTTGCCAGGCAGTGCTAAGCAGTTCACACATAGTAAAACCATTTAATCCTCAGTGGTTGTAAGGTATTACTCTTATTACCATTTTATACGTATCTTATTAAAAAGGTTAAATGACCTGTCGGAGGTCACCACAACCAGTAAGTAGACCCATGGTGGGGTCAAAGGAGCATCAGGTCATTTTAGATCTAGTCTCTGTGGGTGATTACCTTTGTGACCTTGGCCAAATCCTGTAACCTCTTAAAGTATGTTTTCTTGCCTAATATTATATTCCCTAATATTTTCCTTTAAAAGCTGCAATTAAAGTTAAACTTCCTAAGTATTGCTTTGTTTATATCACACAGTCTTTGATATGTAATGTTTCCACACTTTTATTTATTTTTTTTAAATAGCTTAGTTCCCCCTTTACCCTAAGTGTTTTTAGAATGTTCTTTAAGTGTTAGTCTCTAGCACTGGGTACCATTAATCACCTCTTTAGGAAGCAGACTGAAGCTCAAGGAAGTTTAGTGATGTCCAGGGTCACAAAGCAGAATGCCCGGGCATCTTGTTCTGGACTGCTAGACACCACAGTCTCTATTGCCCGCCCTGAGAAGTACCACTGGTTAGTAGTTTGGTAGATATTCTCCTTGTTCATAATTGTCACCATGCAGTTGGGTGCATGTGCATATTTTCTGCAAAAGTGGGTTAGTATCGAGACATCATCTGTTTGCTTTCTGGTAACCTCAGGTAAATGTGGGGAGGACTGGGGGAAGAAGTTGCCTTAAATATTTTTCACTGTACTTGTTCTTGGTGTAAGATTGGGAGGGAGAGTGAACTTAATTTCCTTATGCCTATCAATTACATACAAAGACTTGTGTTTTTCTGTACGGTTCGGTCAGTTTCGGGAACCAAAATGTTTTTTTTTGTATTGCTGTTAAGTGCATTAATAACAGTGTATCTGTGTTATACAAAACTTTCTTTTTTAAAAGGCCACGTCTATCCCAAATTTCTCTTACATGGGAGCTCGCCTGTGTAATTACCTGTCTCATCATCTGACAATTAGCCCACAGAGTGGCACCTTCCGCCAGTTGCTACTTCAAAGGTAAGTGTGAATATGAAATTGAAGGAAAACTGCTTCTAAACATACTAGAATTTGATCATTTCTCTATTCTAAAGACCTTACACAATAGAAAGTTGTGGAGGAGAATAGTGTGGGTCATTTTATTTGCATAGTATTAAAAGTTTAAGGTCAAATATATTAGTCTTTTTGCTGTAGTGGTGTTTGCCTTTGGTTTTGTGTTTAGAAAAAGGCTTTTCCTTTTCCAAGACCTTAAAAATGAGCACTCATGTATTTCTTGGTACTTTTGTAATTTTGATTAGAGCGAGGATCTATTTTATTTAGATTAGAGTAAAAGTGAATAATCTGTTCTTTCCTTATTGATTTGAGCTTCCACCTTTATCACACTGCATTCTTATATTTGGGTTTTGATTCTGGGCTTTTATTATATTCCATTTATCACTTTTACTGCCACATTCCTATTCCTTTTCCTGCCACACAATAGCTATTTTAAAAAGCTATTTTATATCTAGTCTAGTTCTCTATTCTTTTTTTGTGGAATCTTCTTTGCTACTCTTGTTTTCTCCAATGAACTTTAGAATCAGTGTTTGAAATTATACAAACCCTGTTGATTTTGTTAGATATTTTGGGGATGATATTGAATTCATAAGCTAAGTTAGGGAAAACTAATTTTCTTATAATTATAATTGTCTTCAGTAACAGGGTTGTCTTCAAGTTTATTATAGTTTGTCCATTAATTCTTTGGAGATATTTTTAATGGTTGCAGAGTATTCCATTGTGTGGCTTAAATTGCAGTGGAACAGATTCTAAAAGTAGACCCCAGAGACATTAATTAAGCTTTTGATGAAGGTGGTACTTGAAATGCATATATAAAAGATAAATTGTGCTAGTACCACAACTGGATAGCCATTTGGGGAAAACAACAAAGATGGGTCCCTGTCTCACTCCCTACTCCAAAAGATTTATATTAAAAGTTAAATAGAATAAAAAAGGGGGGGCAATTGACAAATAAATCTTGCGTTGGTAAGACCCTTTTAAGCAAGACATGATACCCATAGGCCCTAAAACAAATTTAAAATTTTAGTTACATATAGATCATAACATTTGGGGGGGAGGGAGGAGGAATACATTTATATGAAGTAAAGTAAAAATAAAATTCATAACACATAGCAATGAGTTTATTTAATATGAAAAGAGGGGCCTCTTAGGAGTAAGAAAAGACCAGTATCTTAATATTTAGAAATATTTAGAGTGGCTCTGAATAGGTACAGTTCAGAAAAATGACAGTTATAAAGAGATATATAAACTTAACTATATATAACTAAGGAAATGCAGATTAGGTCTTCTGGAAAGATACAGACTAGGTACTTCCAGAACATAGGATGCCGGAAAGGCTCACTTTTATTTCCCAGTACTTCTCACCCCTGGCTATGCTGTATAGTAACCTGGAATAGGACTGAAACCCTGCCCCCACTCTTGGAAATTCTGTTATAATTGGAGTGAGGTGGAGTCCAGGCTCCCCACTCTTCCAGTTCTCTTTGACTCTACCCTGTGTGCGCTTCTATAGTAATATAATGCTGTCAAAGATATTAATGTGGAAGAATGCTAAGATACAACAAGTGAAAAGCAGAGCAAGATTCTACTGCCTCACTTAAAAATATATACATACTTTGAAAAAGGATGGAAGTTACCTTCACAGCAGTTATCTCTTGGTTATAGTGTTACAGGTGACTTTGTTCTTTATTTTCTTCTGTTTAAACCTTTCTGGGGCCGGCCCGTGGCTCCCTCGGGAGAGTGCGGTGCTGATAACACCAAGGCCCCCGGTTTGGATCCCATATAGGGATGGCCGGTTAGCACACTGGCTGAGCGTGGTGCTGACAACACCAAGTCAAGGGTTAAGATCCCCTTACCGGTCATCTTTTTTTAAAAAAAAAAAAAAGATAAACCTTTCTGAAATTAACATGTATTGCTTTTATAATTGAAAATCTTCAGCTTTAAAAAGGTTAAGGGTCTTTCACCTAGATGATCAACCATGTGCAAGGAGAGGAATTTACTTTTGCATACACATAATTGTGTGCTAATGTACAATCTAATAGTCATAGTATTTTATAAAACAAAAAGGAGGTTTTTTAAATCAAAACTCTTATGTGCAAAGTTGTAACGGAAAAGCAACCAACAAGGTGCTTGGTTAACTGAGTTGGCATTTAACTGATCTTTTCCATTATTAACCAAAGTGTTCTATCTGTAAGTATTTTCTGACAAAGAATTAATTTAGTTTGTATGAGACAATAACAAATATCTTAATATATCTGACTCAAACAGAAGCTGGTACTCAGTTAATATTGCTTGTAAGCATTGGAATTGGCCACATAGGCATAATAAGCTATGCTGGGTTTATGGGTGGTTCACAGGCTGACCCCAGGTAAATTCTTAGGCAAGAGGTGATTGTTGTTTTGGGGGGTTTTTTCCTTTAAAAAAAAATTTTTTTTTTTTTTTTACAAAGCCTATCTAAACTGGTTATATGAAAGCTATTCAGTCTTAAGCTCTTCCCTTTGTCTTTAAAAAAAAAATTGTCAAAATCAGTTGTATAAAACAAATGACTTTCCCAAAATTATCACCACCTTATCAATAAAGATAAGAAAAAATACTTAACACCAAAATGGTAAACTTTTAGTCATTTTTAGAAAGTCCATTTTAGTAATAGTAGCTGACACAGTAATTCACTTAAAATTGGCAATGACAGGCTTATTGTGATTAGTTTAGATACGTTGTAGGAACTGTGACTGTAACCTCCAAGATTTCTTTAAGTCGTGTGAGGCAAATGGACCAATTAAGGGATAAAGCAAGGAAAATCAAGTTATTGGAAACTTTCAGTCCCCATTGGGAATAGAGACCAAATTATTGCTTGAGGAATTTTTTCCTTTAGTATAATACTTCTGATATATATAATGGAAAGTATAAAGATAATGAACTTTAAAAAGAGTTTTTTTAGCTTAGTTGGAGGTCATCTATATATATTTTTAAAGATATGTTTCAAAGTTCTTATATATATATTTTTTTTCTTTCTTTTTTTTTTTTTTTTTTTTTTTTTTTTTCCGTGTCCGGCAACGGATCGCAACCC